ATCAACTTTCCCGCCAGGGCGGCCAGTTTCCCGTAAACTATCCCCCCCCCCCAGAGCCGCTATTTTTTCCCGCCAATTCTCCTGCCAGGGCCGCCAGCTTGCCCCGTCAGTTCTCCTGTCATGGCCGCAAGCTTGCCCCATCAACTTTCCCGCCAGGGCGGCCAGTTTCCCGTAAACTATCCCCCCCAGAGCCGCTATTTTTTCCCGCCAATTCTCCTGCCAGGGCCGCCAGCTTGCCCCGTCAGTTCTCCTGTCATGGCCGCAAGCTTGCCCCATCAACTTTCCCGCCAGGGCGGCCAGTTTCCCGTAAACTCTCCCCCCCAGAGCCGCTATTTTTTCCCGCCAATTCTCCTGCCAGGGCCGCCAGCTTGCCCCGTCAGTTCTCCTGTCATGGCCGCAAGCTTGCCCCATCAACTTTTGCTACGGCCGCCAGCTTCTCCTGTCAAATCTACGTGCTTGACCCACCAACACTCCTGCCAGGGCCGCCATTTTGCCCCATCAACTTTCCCCTCAAGAGCCACCAATTTGCCGTCAACTCTCTTTTCACGGCCGTCAGCTTGCCCCGTCAACTCCCCATCAAAATTGCCGCCAGGGCGGCAATTTTCCCCGTAAATTCTCTTACCAGTGCCGCTAACTTGCCCCGTCTTTCCCGCTAGGGTTTCAAACTTGCCCCATCAACTCATTTTAGGGCTGCCAGCTTGCCCCGTCATTTACAGGAGAATGTCTCGTGTCTCCGTCTCCCGCCATGGCTGTCAACTTGCTCATCAACTTTCCAACCAGGGCCGCCAGTTTGCCCCATCAACTCTCCCGCCAGGGCCACGTACAGCTCAGCGTGCCAACTCTTTTGCCATGTTCGCCAGCCTGCTACACAAACTCTCCGTCAGGGCCACCTCGTCCTGCCCAGCCATTCCTCCTGTCAACTCTCCCCCCAAGATTACCGGCTATATAGCCCGTTAATTCGCCATGACCGCCAATTTGCCCGACTATAGTGTGCCATTTTACCCCCCTCAGATCTCTTGCCAGATCCGCCCATCAAGTGGGCGGCGGCAGAAATGTTAGTCAAAACTTTTATCATCCTAGCCTAAACCAATTATAACTTGCACCCTGAAGCCTCTTGAAGTATTTTACAAATGATAGTCGTCATGCAGTACTATAAAAATCCTAGCATTTATTTTGATAATTACTATTATATTTATCCGTAACTTTTCCATACTGTCCTTTATGGAAATAAACTTACCAACCCGGTAACCCAATGGAGCCGGTCGGCCGAGCGGACAGCACGCTGGACTTCTGATCCTGTGGTCCTGGGTTCGATCCCAGGCGCCGGCGAGAAACAATGTGCAAAATTTCTTTCACCCTATGCCCCTGTTACCTAGCAGTAAAATAGGTACCTGGGTGTTAGTCAGCTGTCACGGGCTGCTTCCTGGGGGTGGAGGCCTGGTCGAGGACCGGGCCGCAGGGACACTAAAAGCCCCGAAATCATCTCAAGATAACCCTGTGAAGCACATTCTGAATGCTCCCTCTGATATAGATCACCTTCAAGATTGCCAAGCAGCTGGCATTAGGCTATGCACTCTAATTTGCTATCCTGTTCCACACAACCGAGGAAGTTATTTGTCGCTCACACAATTAAGCCGTATAGCTAACAAAATCAAATTACGTAACACTTATCCACCACTGAGATAGTTCGGCTTAGGCGAATGCTGTAGTATCATGTATGGTCACGGTAGTTAGTTTAGTTAAATTTATTATGTACCCCGGCAGTACAGCTGGATTTGCTCTCGACTCACAATAGGGAATTTCTGGTTTGAATTCCAGCCGGAACAGATATGGTTGGGTGCGTTAATTCTCCAAATGCCCCTGTCCCAGTAAATAGGTATTCAGGAGTTAGTCAGCTTGTGGGGTTGCATACTTTGTGAGGGTAGGGAGGGGTAAGGGGGGGGGGTTAGTAATTCGACATTTGAGGGGGGGTCCTCAATATAACCCAAATGTATATATCCACTGGCTGCCTGTCCCTCGACACAATAAATTATTATATTAAATTATGCGCAACCATATTCAAAATTCTAACTTTCTCGCAGTCAGTATCTTCTATGATAATCTTCCGCCGTCATGAAAACAATCCTAGCCTCGACATGGCGAGTTTTAATGTATCAACCCTTTTAATCTTGACGCAGTATTATCAATGATAGCATAACATTAGGGTAGTCAGAGGTTCTGTTTTAGAACAGTCCTGCTTTTGAGCAGTCTTTCGTCCTTCGCCACCTCAAGAAGGACGTTAATTTGTCTTTCTTTTTTTGGGGTCAGTCTAAAAATAATTATATATGGTACATAGGCTACCATATATAATTATTAATTTCTTCCTTTAGTTTGTGAAGTGAGTTAATTTGGTTAGCATAACCTCTTCCAGCGGAAGTAAAGATTAGTATTCATTTCTTCCAATTCTTTATTTTTACTGCATGAATGCATGTATATAATTATTTAGCAACGTTTGTGTCGCAAGATATGCAAAATATCCTAAACATCACTCAGAATGCAACCCATGCATCGTCCTGTTTATATAGTATTTTTTGTAACTATGTGCACCATAGTACAAACATTGGCGTACTAAGGAATTAGTAGAATTTTGTACTATTCACTTTATAGTCCTAAAAAATGAAGCTAAATAACATATATATATATATATATATATATATATATATATATATATATATATATATATATATATATATATATATATATATATATATATATATATATATATATATATATATATATATATATATATATATATATATATATATATATATATATATACATATATATATACATATATATATATATGACAATGTCAGACCACGAAGGAAAAATGAAACAGGAAATTTCCTTAAGTACTTTCGTATATTAAATACATCTTCAGAAGGTCCTTCTGAAGATGTATTTAATATACGAAAGTACTTAAGGAAATTTCCTGTTTCATTTTTCCTTCGTGGTCTGACATTGTCACATTCTTAATCACGTGTTTATTTTCGTGATATACACACACATATATATATATATATATATATATATATATATATATATATATATATATATATATATATATATATATATATATATATATATATATACATATACATACATACATACATATACACAAAAATAAACCCATGAAACCGCCTACCCGCTGAAGCCACTTCTGAACAAATGGCATGAGGTACTTTGCTCTGTAATTATTTCATACACTCAGGAATATTGAAAGATATTCTTATGCTGTACCCAGATTTTGCTAGTGGAGGTTAATAGATCAGCCTTACATTTCATGTTCTTTCCTGATTCCATGTATGGCTAGCCGTCCTGTGAGGTGGGAATGTTGGATGAGCTTGTACCTCATCCAGAAAATCGTGAAGTTGCTGTTTAGTCAGAGCTGATTTGTTTTGGTATTGAGGCAGGTATTTTCTCCCCTGATTCCATGTATGACTAACCATCTTGTAAGCTGGGAATATTAGATTAACTTCTAGCTAGTTTTTAATCTACAGTGTAATCTTTCATGTGGAATAGAGTAGCAGCACATTGCTGTGTATATCTAAGCTTGTAAATTTAAAAAATAAAGTTAATGCAAAAGTTCAAAACTTTAATTTAAAACAAATTTTCAAGAACAATTGGGGCTTTCCAAGAACAATTGGGAGGGGGGGGGGACCTTTAACAAACCACATCGGCTTCTTGTCCCCATATAGGCCACTTGAGATGGTGGCCCTCAGATAAATTCAAGTAAATTATGCCATTAAATAAACAAATGGGGTGCACCAGCATGCCATCGCCAGTCGTCATTCCATGCTTCCGCCACCACCTAGCTGGAGCTATCTATCTTCCTGGGGCAACATGACACAGTAAGTATGAACCTATAGTGTAATAGTGTTAACATCTGAGGTACACCTGTATATACATGCCTAAAGCATGCAATTATAAACATGCAAGCAATTCAAACTCCATCTAGTTTTCTGATTATACATTCATTACCTGCTCATTTTAATGTATGGAGGTTGTAAAATCAACAGCAATGACCTCCGAACAGTTTATATAGGACTAGAAAATAATAACTACTGGAGGTTACTCTGGAGTTATAAATGAGTCATGGATAATAAAGCATTTTCTTTGAGACAGAAAAAAAAAGAGTATGTATTAAAAATATAAACAATTAAATGCTATGTAATTCGTTTTTATTCATTTTGTCGGGGTCAGACAGCACCTGCCCTTCCTTCCCTCACTGTCCTTCTCCCTCTCTCTCTTTCAATGGTTTAATCTTTTCTCTTGATAATTACCTTGGTAAGCTAGTACGTCTGCTCACTGGTTCAATAGCCAGTTGCTGATTTACCTGTAACAAGCAAAGTACTCACCTGTAGTCGGCTTTTCAATTGTTTTAGAGTACAGTACTAGGCTTGGTAGAGTAAAGTACTGAATGTCATACCTGAATTCACCCGAGGGCCACTAACACGTCTTTTATTTTATATATAGCTTAGGTTTAGGTTTTATATTTTTAGGCATATTTATTGAGAATATATTTGATATATATTATATTGATTTTATCTAATTTGCAATGTAAATATTCTCTTTTAAACACTGATGGAGTTTAAGACTCTGAAACCTCTAGAAATTTTATATAAATTGGAAATGTATATCTTTTCACTCATCTTACAATTTATAACAAGATTAAAATTACAAAGAGGAAACTGAAATTCTAAAATCTACAATATTTGCATCTACAGTAATCTTGTGTACTGTTTTAAAAAGCAATTTTCATTAAGTTATTGTACAAACTTTGTATGAAGTGACTAGTCCCATTTTGATGGCAAATTAATATTACCAGTTATCACCTCACATGTGTAAAATCAGGGTTAGGCAGTTGATGTAAGGCAGGCAAAAAGCAATGGCTCTGAAAGACTAAGGGCAATAGTCTTTCAGCATCTTTCTTTCAAACATATATGGCTAATAAAACAATATTTAGATGAATAATATTTTAAGGATTGTCATGTATAATACTTAGGTAATGCACTCCCAATTCTCCATAAAGCTCTCTCTCCTCTCTCTCTCTCCAACCCAACAGACATTGCAAACAAACTCTCTGTCACTAGTCCTGTTCATACGATTCCTGAGAAATGAGCGTGCTGCTTTGAAACGCCTACCCACGTACTACATGACATTAAACATAATCTTCCAAACCAATATCTTTTACTGCTTAACATTACATGAAGTTATGAGGTGTTAGGCATATAATATACATAGGGTGACTGATTTGACAAGCAGGCAGGCAAGAAAGCTGTTATGCAATTACTGAATATGCCTGCCCCAACCCCTAAAAAAAGTATGCATATAAGACTATATACAGTGATAAAACATATTAAAGATTTATCTCTACTATAAAAATCATAAGTGCTTTAATCATGCATACAAAAAAGCTAAGGCTACATACTTTAGCCTCAATTAAAACTTAGGCAAATTATGAAAAAATATATTATGTGAAATTGCATTCCATTCTCATGCACAAGTAATCAAAATACCAGTTATATTTCACTAGTAAAAATTCAATTAATAAAATAATATATTTAGTATATTTTGTAAAATATATTAAAAACAAATTCTCACCACTTAAGGCATTAACATGACTGATCACTTAGGAAAAAAAAAATCCTACTATACTGTGACCTGTTTCTCCAGCAGCACTGAAATATTATGAGGTCAGAATCCAACCTATATACTTCGATATTCATTTACTACCTTATAAATCATCACATCAGAAAATATTGCATTAATAAATAAAACTAGACATGAACATGCATACTAAATATAACAAACATGAGTATTCAATATCAGTCTAGCCCAAAATGGCCATCTTGATGACCGAGAATTATTAATAACAACAATGTGTGTTACAGAAAATTGGTATTCATCGCATACAAGCAAATTTCATCAGTTTCCCCATAAAACAAGCTTAATTTACATGTACAGTACAGTATATCGTAAATTAATTTCCAAATTAATTTAAACAAGCACAAAATAAATGCTTTAACATTATTTATCTTTTTTACTTTAAAATATGCCACTCACCTCGTGAAAGTGGGAAATAGGGTAATGATAATTAATGAACTTGACAAAATACAGTACATAATAAAAAACATTTTATTTAGTATGAAGATAATTTAATTACACATATGTAGTTCCTTTTTATTAAAGTGTTAGTAAAGCATTACATATACAATACAATATTTATTAAGAATTAATGTCAAGTTTATTTTCCAGTTTATACTACCAAACTTGATTACCTGTGTGTGTGTGTGTATAGATTACTTGAAAACTAATCACACAGTTTTCACTGAATATTTAATAAATGTGAAGCAATATGTGAAGAAATCCATATGCCAAACTAATCAAATTTAAGTACAATACAGTACTGTACTACATTACAAGCACATACACGGTAACAGTACCAACCCTCAATGCTTGTATGTATTAAATAAACAAATTATATTTAATAATACAATTATTTATCTACAAAATTAGTGGACACTGTATTTATAATCTGAGAATTGGAGATAAAGGGCAAGAAATTATTACATTCTTTATTAATATTACTACATTAATCACACCAAAATATTAGAAGAAATTTTTCAGAATATTTATTAATTTAATTTAAGGGATATTAACATTTATAACAACAATAATGACTAATTTTTCAGTGCATAATAATACACCTTTAACAGATGAGATTATATACTTTCATTTATTATTTACAAACAAAAAGATTATGTAACATTAATGCGAGAACAAAATTTAACAGCTTATTAACAAGAGAGAAATTGGTTTTAAAGAGAAAAGAAAAAAGTTTTTTTTTCAGACACCACTATATATACATATATTCAAATGCTGTGTTATAATCAGCATTCACTGCATCACCAGTGTATTCTAAATCACATCAGGGTTAATATGATACTCATTACACAACCCATTCACTATCTAAAAATTACATTTTCATGAGATCTTCAAACACTGCAAAGATGTATTCCTGCTTGTACTACCTTTATACTAATAATGTTCCCTCACAAAAAATTGACCTCTTCTAATTTTTTCTTAATCCTGCACCCACTTCTCAAAAATAAACTACTCAACGTCTACAGAGCTTCATATGTATTTTCACAGCCAAACTTTTACTCTATACTGGGCACAAAAATTCCTTGTTGCATATTCTCACTCTTTCACCTTTTCCTTCATCCGTAAACTATCACTTTTCCCCCCTCCTCCCTTCTTTTATTCTCCTCCTCCAGGCACTCCTATCTAATATTTAAATTAAATTTATTTTAGTTCCCTTAAAAACCACTAATTTGCTTTATACGATTACTGAAAATACTTAACCATCATCTACAACTTTCCTGGCCAAATCTAACCCAAAACCACTTATATATCATGCTTCATATTAACTTTTAAAATACCCCGCACTGTTCAAATATATCAGGACCCAGTTACCTTGCATAATAACAGCAGCTATTCCACACTTGGAGGCTTTTAGATAGATGGAGTGAATTTTGTTGCATTCATTTAATTACAAAGAGGCAAACCTCATGTTTTTAATGTATTGTTATTACTGTAGGTATTTCTGTATCTGAGTACTGTACAGTATAAGCCTATCCAGCCTCAAAAGGCAGACAGTAATTTCATGAGAATACTGTAGAGCAAGTATCCACTCACTGAAATGTCAACATTTCTTCCAAAAAAAAAAAAAAAAAAAAAAAAAGTGCACCACACTTTCAATGCTGAACCAGTGCTTCAAACAAAGACTCCATCTTTGATCAGAGACAGGCATAATCGGCATTTGCTAGGAGGAACATGGCGAGTGGATGATATTCAGGCAGAAACGGACACACTCTTCCTTCAATTTGTCATTATCTGTGGGTTTTAACAGACATATAATACAATACAAATGGTTTTATTTTTAGATTTATATAAAATGCAATGCATGCAGAAAAGAGCAATCTACAACATTACACTAACACATACTAAGGAGCTTAGATAATATACATTACACACAAAGAAATAAAGAATAAACTACGTACATGAAGAAGGGCAGATAAAGTAATAAAACATTAGCTAATGACTACCTGAAGCCAAAAACACAACATAAAATTAGAATCACTTTAAACACTGTATTGAGTTTTCCAGTGACACTCTTGGAATATCTTGAATACCCTCATAACATTTATTCATTAAAAAATGTAAGACTAAAATGTCTAAATGTGAGCAATGAAAAGCAATTCTAAATTCACATCATTATTCATGATTAATGCCTGAAACTCCAACATTTCAGAGTAACAAAAATTATAAAGCCTTTTTCTCATGCCCATCCCCTCACCCACACAAAAAAGAACTATGTAATATACATAAACAAACTACAATTACTGTACCACCATTTTCGTCATCACCATTAACATAATTTATCAATTATAGCTAAATCAATATCTTATCCTTTCTTTGCAAAGGTTGCTCTAAAAGTGGAAAATAACTACTGTACTTGTATAAGATGCTTCTTAAAGCAGCCTTTCCTAATTATGTATTGTTTAGTTCTATGTTTTTTCTGTTACAATCTTTGATCAAAATATCGTACTTATACCTGCAACTATATCCAAAATGCTGTAAGCAAAATATCACTGGTAGCTAGACAAACTTCAAGTCAAAGGTTAGCACAGTTTGAAGCTTTGCCCTAAGAGTACAAGCATTGTAAACAAAAAGGCCCCTTCATCAATGCCTTAATAAAAAAAATAATTCCATGAACTAGTAATATACAGTGCTTCAAACTGTGATGCCACCCCTTGAAATAAAGTGATAATTGTATTGCTTTCCAAATTAGTGAAACTGTTGCGCTTTCGTTGAATTTGTTGCTCTCACATGACGTCTGCTCTCAAAAATCACTGGATTTTTAACGTATCTAAAAGCTAGCAATCAGCAATTCTAACTGCTTCACATCTATAATTTAGGTTTCCTGAATGTATTCAAACTAGATCAATTGCAACAGGCAATAATAATGTTCCCCTCTATGCTCTACTCTACCACACATTGCAACTGCACTTCAACTGCTTTTCTCAACTTCTGTAACGTCTTTCTCTCTCTCTCTCCTCTACCATCCCATTAGTATATGCTTATTGAGATTTAATCCTCATTCTTCACATTCTTGTTTTCTTGATGAAAACAGGTGGCTTTTTCACTTCCACACTCAAGATAATGTGAGACAGGTGATAGAAGAACTTCTAATTTTGCTACAATACTCATAATTACCATTTCATTGTAACTAAAATGGAAAAGCCTTTCTTCCTCCCTGTTCCTTCTTGCACAAAAACCATGTATAGCATCAAAACATCAACTGTTTCCTATTTCTTTCATTACCTTTCACCGAGAAACAAGACTATGTACCATATACAGAATGGAGATTTAATCAGAAAGCAAGATAGCTAAACCAGCATATCAAATTATCTGGTAAATAATATTCTACCTGGTCCTTTAGAAGCATAAAACATTAAGCCAAGTGAAATATCTAGATAAAAGTCAGCAACTGCCTACCCTCTCAAGAAAGATAACCTGATGGAAAAAGGTAACATTAATGCAGCAACAAACACACACCAGCTTGTCTTTTCGCTTAACTTCCATTACAGTACTTTTAAATGGGACTAAACATAAAAATATACTGATAAGTGAAAATTGTTATTAATTAAAAACACGCTTCACATAAGATGAAGTAATCATTACATTAGTTTTGCTTACAGAAATTCTTTCAACACAAGCACTGACTTGACTACATCTTTACTAAAGTTAATTGAATTCAATTCCTAAAGACAAAAACTACCAATATGTTGCAAGATGTAAAACGAAAGCACAAGAGAAGTTGTCAAGGTTAGAAATTATGAGCTACGATATCTTTGATGATGAGGTCATGGATCACCACCTTATACTGGTACTGTAATCTCACTTAAAAACTCAAGTAATAATCGAGGCATACAGTAACTTGATTAGTATCGATACAAGATAACCAGCCACTAAAATCTCTGCTCATACGAAATAGTAACTTCGATAACAGTGGCTTCAGCAACCAATGTTGCCAAGCTCAGGTAGGATTCAGAAATTTTAGTGTTTTAAATAGTTCTTAATAACACCAATGTTAACCTTCTGGCAGTAAAAGCTCAGAGATAATTATATCTTATTAAATGGGTATATAAATTTCATACCCTATTTTTATGAAGAGACCATTTACATGAAGTCTTGTGAGCATTGCCTTGTAGGTTTGTACTTACTTTCGCTGACGTACAGAATCCTTGTTGAGATCAGTTGTGTTTTTCCTGTAAAGGATGCAAACTCTCGGGTTAAAGCTCCTACACTAATATGATGATTTTTACAAGTTCACTTTGCTCCTTATGCTTGTTTGCCTCAACAATAAAATAATAATAAACATAAAAAATTAAAGAACCACGAACGCACCAAAAATGGTAACCACACAACTGTAAAGACAAAAAAATGAAGCAGAACATCTGCATACATAACCAATGAAGATGCAACAGGAATCAACATCACACTCACTGATCATTTCCCTGGTCAGTGTCAGACTCTTCAAATTCAGCCTTGGCTCGACGTTTCTCAAAGATGAAGATGATAATCCCAAGCAGCAGCACCTCAACCACAATGCCAATGAAGGGCCAGAGAGCAGCATAAACATCTGGAATTGAAAAAATCTTGTAAATTAGATATATTTTGATTGGAGCTTACCAAGAAAAGTATCCACAGGACATCATAGTGGTTACAGTGGTAAGGGTTGTGACGGAGTGATTTTTCCATGATCTGTGCTCTTCACAAAACGAGTGAAAGTGCAACCTCAATTCACCAAACCATATGGGATCAGGCCAGATTCATTGTAGCCAGAGATGCCTTCAGGAAGCATTTGTATGATTCAATCTTTGTTTTTGACAAGAAAATATTTTGCTATGCCTGTTTCACTTGTTTCATTCATCTATCTACAACAACAATTAATGATAACATTATATGACAAACAACCAGAGTACTAGGAGAACCTGATAAAATTATTTTTCAGGATCTAGTCTCTTAAAATCTTATTTGATGTAAATGAACCCACAATTTTCCCACAGGTCTAGGCCAACATCCTCTAATATCAGCTTAGCCCTGTCATCTTTAGTCATACGAATTAAGAGAATAGACAGACCACATTTGAGTTATTTGGAGTAAAAGGGCATCTTGAAGGGATTTTAACTTGACGATCATAACCCTCAATAGCACTTAGACGCCAACAATGTTCATTGCAGTAATAATTGTGGAATTGGTAATGGTGAGGATAGTGTTTACCTATCAGTAACTATGAGACATGAAGTCTAGCTCATAATGCCTTGCCTCAAAGCTCTTTGTACTAGGTGCACTTTTAAATCTCTTTAATGTTTCAAGATGTGTTACATATTTTCCATGAAGTTGTGGAATGAGGTGAAATTCCCATCTTTCTTCAAAGCATTCAACTTATTCACAATTACTTCGTTAAGTGCTAAAACTCATTTATGAACATAAAATTAGAGAACACTGCAAAAGGCCTATTGGGCAATAGCCAGGCAGTGTCCAAACATGTTCTTTTATCGTATTTTCTCTCAGTATAAATAAGCTGTCCTTATCTACATTTTCTATTCCCCTCACCTCAGTATCTTGTTTGTACATAGTGATCTTGACTCCTTTGTTTCTCTCCTTAAGTGCTGTCGTGTAGAGTTTTAACATGTTCTTATTAAAAGAAAGATAGCTTTTTTCCTTTTAATTCAGGTACAGGCTATTCACGATTTATGCAGAGAATGTATTGCATTATGTTGGTTTGGAATTACCGTATGGTGATATGCAATTTTATATTTAATTTTGAAATCTGAGGATAAATTTTGAGTTATGTTAGTTGAGAACAGATTAACAAGGATAGCAACCTAACCTACCCTAGCTAAATAAGCCTATCCAAGCTATCTCCCCACAAAGTTAAATATAAAAGACATACAATGTTTATTAATGTGAGTTTCCACAGATCCCAATGAAAAATTAAATGTACGGCAGAGTCTCAGAAAGCATTAAACAATTTTTAACATGGCTGCCATCAACTTCACTTCAGCTGTCTTTTCTTTTTCTGTATCTACCTAACTTTTGGTATGTATACAGTATAGATAACCAGTCCAGGCCTACTATTTTATCCTAAATAAAAATCATAAATACAGGGATTTGTAATGTCAGGTATAAATAACATAGATAATTTAACATTTGAAGTGGTGGGGCATTTTTGTTTTGTGAAGTATGATGTTTGAAAATACAGTAGTTGAAGGTGAGGGAATGAGGCAGTCTGCTGCCGCTTCACTCACCACTTACTCCTCCTTTCTCTCTATTCTTTATTGAATAGAGAGACTGCTCTATAATAAAAAACTATTATGGGGTTTATCATACTCCACTTTGCTGGAAGTTACTCGAGATCATGTGCTTTTCATGCGAGTTAAACCACAATACTCTGTTTAGTTCCAGTGCCTGTCAGAGGGTGTGTCACTCTGATATCTAATCTCTTCTGTGTAACTAAGTCATTAGGTTACAATATACCCTGCACTGGTAATAGGAGGAGGAATACGAATGTGACCCAAGTTTTAATTTTTTCAATCATTTATTCTTCTATAATAAACTTTCTTTAATTTCTGGGAATGATTAACGTAACACGTTACTACCTCATCATGAATGAGTTTTTTTTACCTCTTGCTTTATGATCAAATTTTATTCTTTGTTTCAGAAATAATGAATCACAACAGGTTTAAGTCCTACAAAATGTCTAAATGTTTACAAATGACTTAAGGGGAAAAATCCAATCACATAAATCACTAAAAAAATTTCTTACCTTTAACTCGAATGAAGGTGTACCTTTCAAAATTGTTAGATAGTGTGGTGATAACACAAGTATAATTGCCACGATCAGACCACCCAGCATTGGTAATCACAATCTTGGCATTAGGAACATCTTTATCATTAGGACTATAAGTTATTCGTGTTTCATTGATTGATTCTGCAATAGGCTTATCATCTGAAAAGACAAAATAATTATTGAGTCAACAATGTCTTGGTAATAAATTAAATAAAGAAGTGAAGGGTCATGAAACAATATGGAGACATGGAAGTTCCTTGCTAGATTGAGAATATGTGATAAAGCAATCTGAAGGTATGGAAGCTCCTCATCAAGTCAAGGTGAGGATATGTTTCAGCACTCTGTTGGTAAAGAAAAAATTATGTACAGTAATTCAATGCATAGAATAGTTAGCAAACTATTTCCTTATAGGTGCCGGCTAGAGGTGTTGTCTTCCGGCTCAGTGCTCTAAATAGTATGTCATTCAAAGGTTTACTTATTGTTTTACATTACCTTTAAAGACACTGCAGTGAATATTATGTAAAATGTAAAATTATCACAAGCCCCCTCACCAAAAAAAAAAAATGAAAATGCTGTATACCTCCTTTAAAGGACTACATTTTACAAAATAATGATCTACTTTTTTCCATAATAATTACTAATCAAATTTTTTATTAGAAATTTGGGGAATGTTTTCCCCTGCTTATGAGTCAGATCAGACTTGCATGTTATCCTGCAAGTCTTTGATAAACATATAATGTTATATGGACAATTACCATTAAGTTACATTAACAAAAAAATTGAGCAGATAGGAGCACTGAGCAAACAAACAAGTAGGCTACTCCCCAATGGTCTCAACTTACACACAGACAGACTAATCTCCCCAGGGTCAAAAATGCTTTTAGTAAACATAATGGTACCCTACACTTGGGGAGGCAATTCATACACAGTAATTTAATAAAAAAAACTATTTAAGCTCACCCTTTTTCCATGTGATTACAGGGTGGGGTGAGCCCTCCACAGGGCATTCTAATTCAAGACTCTTCTCCATGTCTACATTTGCAGACTTGTCCATCTTCCTAATTTCAAAATCTGTTGGATGAGTAAGTACTTTATAAATCATATATATATGCTACATTTAAATAATCTTACATAAGGCTACTATAAATACAGCTGGATGACATTTACATGCAATGCATCATACTAGAGGATTCATTTTATTATGCAGCTTGATTAAATCTGAAACATTAGAACATAAGAATAAAGCAAATGGCAGAAGGAATATTGGCCAACAAGGCAGCTTCTATTTCATAGCATCCTTGCTGCTAGATATGCCCCACACCAACACTTGCACTGTGTATTAAACAACCTCCTTGTACAATATTCAATTACCATAAAATATGGTGCAAGTTGCCTAAAGGAGTTTGAAACTGTACATTTAGAACAAACAAAACTCCCATAACTACACTGGACAAAACAAGAGCCACTGTATCTTATGATGATTCCACGAATTAGCATCCATGTGGCAGTCTCTGACCGGGACCCCTGGTTGCTCTTTTAATCACTTAGGTTGTCGGTGCTTGCAGCTTGGAGTTTGATGCAGGCGCTGCAGCCTGGTTGATTAGGTGCTACCTATTTGGGGGCATTTGTTAAGCTCCCTCTAAAATGCAATTATGAGATCCATTGGTAATTCTCCTTACATTCAGAGAGAGGATTAGAAATGCCTTGGGCACTTATGTTTAAGATTTTTCTCATTGAATACTCAATTTAACAAATTGTATATCACTATACTGTACTCTCTCCTCAATATTTAAGAACGTTTACTGTTATTGAAGGAGGTAAATTGTCAGTAACTGAGAGTCATTTCTAGTGCCTAAAGCATTTTTTTAATACAGAACAGTGCAACCTTGATTCAGCAAACTGTACTACTTATGGGTTCAACCCTGATTTGAGGAGTGAGGGATTCTTTGTAACCAGAAATGCCTCCTAGAAGCATTTGTGAGATGCATTATTTTTTTTGTAAGACAAGAAAAAACATTGCTTAATTAAGCAGTTTCTTTTTTTCTAATGTTGCTTCCATCATTAGAATGACTAAATGCCTAAATCTGTATTCTCTTGAATGCATGCAGGACAGATACAATATAATTTACACATGGAAAATATTAGAGGGGCTGGTCCCAAACTTGCACACAGAAATAACACCACATGAGACCAGAAGGCATGGCAGGATGAGCAAAATACTCCAGTTGAAAAACAGAGGTGCAATAGGTACTCTGAGAGAGAACTCTATCAACATCAGAGGCCTAAGACTGTTCAACACACTTCCACTGCACATAAGGGGCATAACTGGGCGACCCCTCACAGTATTCAAGAGAGAATTTGATAAACACCTCCAAAGGATACCTGATCAACCAGGCTGTGATTCATATGTCAGGCTACAAGCATCCACATCCAACAGCCTGGTTGATCAGTCCAGCAATCAGGAGGCCTGGTCAGGGATTGGGCTGTGGGAATGTTGAGCCCCGAAATCATTGCAAGGTAATCCCATTTCGAGAAACTCTTGTTCATCGTATCAGACGAATAAATCCAGCCTGGAAAGTATGTGTAGCAATCATGTTGTGCAATTAATCATGCATCAGAGATTCGCTGAAAGAAGGTTCAATGAATCAAGGTTCCACTGTATTTGCAAATAATTAACTGTTATGGTATTGGATCATTGCAGATTAGTGATCCAAAGAAATTTTGTATGAATGTGACACTACCATTAAACCATATACCCTGTATCAGATATTACCCTAATCCCCATTGACTTTGAAGCAGCCATAGACTGCATACCCATGCTGTCTATGGCTAACAAACACAGAACCCAGAGTGTAATAGTCAACAAAGTAAAATCTGAATCATCCACCATGAAAAGCTCAGTCCCGCACATGGGGCCTGACAACTGAGTGAACAGCGCTTTGGATTCATAGTCCTGAGGTTCCGGGTTCGATCCCTGGTGGAGGCGGAAACAAATGGGCAGAATTTCTTTCACCCTGATGCCCCTGTTCACCTAGTAGTAAATAGGTACTTGGGAGTTAGACAGCTGGTACAGGCTGTTTCCTGGGGGTGTGTAGCAAAAAAGGAGGCCTGGTCGAGTACCGGGCCCCGGGGACGCTAAGCCCCGAAATTATCTCAAGATAACCTCAAGATAACCCCCAAGGTCCCAGTTCTCTGGTACTTTTCTTCATCCTAATATCAGACATAGACAAGGATACAAATTATAGTAATCTATTATCCTTTGCTTATGACATTAGAATTTTCATGAGCAGACAATATCGAGGACACAGCAAACTTCCAGTCCGATGTTAATCAAGTTTTTCAATGAGCCACAGAAAATAACATGATGTTTAATGAAGTTCCAATTACTGCACTATGGAAAACATAAAAATATCAAAGCAGAAACTTCATATAGTATAACACACAGCCAAACCACACTATTGAAAGAAAAAGCAATGTAAAAGATTTAGTTGAAAGAACACAAACAGACTGAAAAATCAGGTCAGATTTTCAAACAAGAGATGCCACTCAAGTGATGATCATTAGTGCTCTCTAGAGTGGAATATTGTTGCACACTAACAGCCCTATAGCACCATTCAAAGCTGGAGAAGTTGCTGACCTGGAGAGCATGCAAAGATCCTTTACTGCCAGAATTTTTCTTCTTCTTCTTGATGGAAACATGCAGTTTGCATGAAGGGTTTGTCCTCCCGATGACTGCAAGAGTACAAATGTTGGGAGACGCGTTTATGTTGAGAATTCAACATAAGGCCAGAATTCACTCAATAAAACGTAAGATATTGGGACTGCATAAATATGTTAAATCTTTATTTCCTAGAGTACAGGCAGGAGAGATACATAATAATTTACACTTGAAAAATATTGAAGGGACTGGTTCCAAATCTGCACACAGAAATAACACCACATGAGACCAGAAAGCATGGCAGGATGAGTAAAATAGCCCAACTGAAATGCAGAGGTGCAATATGCATGCTGAGAGAGAGAGAACTCGATCAACACCAAAGGCCCAAGACTTTTCAAAAACCTTTCCCTACACATAAGGGGCATAACTAGCTGACCTCTTGCAGTGTTCAAATGAGAACTCGACAAGCACCTTCAAAGGATACCTGATTCAGGCTGGCTGTGAGCCAAGCTGTGACTTATCCATCAGGCTGTGAGCAACTGCATGTGAACAACCTGGTTGATCAGACCAGCAACCAGGTGGCCTGGTCAGAGTCCAGGCTGCGGTGGACATTGATCCTCGAAATCTTCAACAGGTAGGTAGTTATGTTGTAAACACAGGTTAATACAAAAATGTATGGTACTGTATACTGTACAGTAACTTCTGTACTGTGCATCAGAGAATGTAGGAAAATATTACTCTAAACCCCATTTTTCAGAGGCTTTTTTAAGGTATGACAAACAATAATATAAATCATAACACCTTTGAGTATTTTATTATTTCATTCTCAATGAGATGATAGTTTTGCCTTTGTATTAACCTGTTTTGGAAAACCTAGATACTTTTAAAATTAATTGAAAACTGGAAGCTGTAGTTAAATGCTCATAACTGTAATGTTACAGTCTATGACTAGAAATCAGAGTTACTGTACCAGTTATCAGCATAATAATATCAAAATTAGGTAAATCTAAACATGAGAATAATTTGAGTCAAAAATATGTATTTAAATACAAGAAATCAATGCACAGTTGCTTAAAATAGGTAAACTAGGGTACTAAGATTGATATAATTGATAAATTATATCAATCTTGAAGTGTTAGCAGTAAACACCATAATATTCAACTTTAACTTGAATTTGTGAGACCACATTTGTATTATTCAGTACAGTTTTGGGTATTGTACTATACAATGGATGTAAAAGCTCCAAAAGTGTAGTACTGTACACTATACAGAGAAGGATGCCCAAGTTAATCCAGGAAATAAGAAGCCTTTTATATGAAGCTAACACTAATAAAACTACAGTATTTACAATTTACAAAGGGTAATGTGACTGAAGTTTGGATATGGATAAAAGTTTAACAAGAGGGATATATAAATAAGAAATATAAATAAGAAGCAAAAAAAAATATCAACTCAAATAAGAACATGAAACAATGAATTTAACGTGTATATAAGTTTAAATTTTAAAAAGTAACATTACTGGCTTGAAAATAGACACAGATCTACTGAGCAACCTGCCAAGTGCCAACACAGAAGCAAATGCACTCTCAAGTTTCAAGCACTGGACTTGAGAAATTATGCACTTGTACATCATGTGATGGACTTGTAAATGATGCACATAAATACGTGCTGTCTTGCATTGACCAATATACCTTCTGCATACTCCTCTATTCTTATATTCACATTCCACAAAGTCTTCCTGAAAGACCACCAGTATAACCAGAAATAAAAAAAGGAGAACCTATCATAAAGGTCTTTCTAAGAGCATACCTTATTAATTAAGTTGACTTTCTCCCAATTTATAGGGTTACAATAAAAATTTAAATTAGAATTATTAGGAGTAGAGAGTAGGAACATAATTTATCGCTCGTCTGAATGGGGGAAATAAAAGGCTGATAACAAGTGGCAAAGAATTTAGGTAATTAAATGCAAATGCAGAGGGTCAATGTCAAAGTCAATGTATATGAGTGTAGCATTTGACTAAGGAAAAATGGCAAATAATTAAGAAATATTCATAAGAAAGTACTGTACTAAGACCAGAAGGTTAAATAGCACCGAGCATAAGGACGAGTGGAACATTAGTGAGACTGCAAGAGAGCAAATGACAGGCTCCAGAAACTTGAATCATCAAGCATAGCTACATGGGTTTGAAACATATCTGGTTATAGTACCAAAGCTTTTTTTTGTTTTTTCATGCAGTATGTTACAGTAATCCAAATTTGATTTACATTACGGAGAAAAACAACTTGCATGACTTACATATGACCTTGAAAGTCTTGGAGAGAGATTTGTTTGAGGGAATCCCAGGCAGTGTCTGGCATTTATAGTTTCCAACATCTGTCTTTAGTGGTGAATTAATGATCAGTGATGAGTTTTCTTGAAAGATCTTGATACGTTCATTACTTTCAATCTTAGTATTATCTATAAACCTGAAAAGCATAATATACTGTACAGAGGCCTATTATTCCATACATTTTAATACATACAGAGTATAATAAAACCAGCATTGAATGTAATGAAATGCCAATCTCTGGGTGAGCCCCAGTGACTTTCTGAAGCTACTGTACTAATATAGTGCCAGACTACAAGGAGCCATAAGTTGCAGAGTTCTCATTGGCCTATGGGGGACCACAAGCCTGAACCTGGGGCCAGATTCACGAAAGCACTTACGCAAGCACTTATGAACCTGTACATCTTTTCTCAATCTTTGACGGCTTTGTTTACAATTATTAAACAGTTAATGAGCTCCGAAGCACCAGGAGGCTGCTTATAACAACAACAGTTGAATGGGAAGTTTTCATCCTTGTAAAGTGTTTAATAAATGTAACCAAAGTCGTCAAAAATTGAGGAAAGATGTACAGGTTCGTAAGTGCTTGCACAAGTGCTTTCGTGAATCTGGCCCCTAGCCCCCTCAGAGAGCAACCAATCCTCCTAATACAATGTCCATTTTGACATACAGTATACTCTACCCAAGGCAAAAAATTGTTGTGCTAAAAAATGGTAGCGGCTAGCAAAATTGACATACTGTCCCGTTTTCTGTTTTGGGTTCTCTGGTAGGTTAGGATAAGGGCACTTTAATATGGCAGTTTCTTGATGTTTTATTTACCTTAAATATTTGTATAATTATTTTTGTAAATACTTGGAGTCTTCATCATAATAACTGAGATCAAGACAAACTAAGCCATGAAACACTTGAAAAATAAAATGCAAATTGATAACACACACACACACTCACCTAAAGATATATTAAAAAATACATCCTCACCTCATTTTTTTTTTTTTTTTTACTCAGGTGGGTAAAAAAAAAAAGATATGCCTTTTGACTCCTGTTAGCATATTTAGTGCTTTCCATTCCCATAAGTCATGGTACACTTTACCCTACTATTCTTTCACTGGCCAACACAAACTAGTACCACTTACCAGTCAAGCTTGAATGAGGTATTCTCATGGTTGGTCATGTTGCAAGTTAACGTCAGAGGGTAGCCTACATACATCATCTGTATACTCTCGCCACCTGTCAGGTCACCTGTGGTGTAAAACAGCAAGAACTAATGACTACAATATTTTCTTAAATAGAACAAGCTCAATACCTGTACAGTATATGCTTTCATTAAATAAAGCAAGCATTGAATATTTGAAGAGCATATACAGTACCATTAATAAATTTGAAAAAAAAAAAAAACAGCATTGAATGTAATGAAACGCCATTTTCTGGGTGAGCCCCCAGAGGATTCCTGAAGCTATCCAAACTGACATGTACCATATTAGTTTGGTGTCATCAGTCGCTAGAGTTGTGTATAGCTACTGGAGACCAGAGCCAGAACCTGGTCCACTCAGAGAGGCACAGAGAGCGAGGCGGGACACTATCAATGAAGTCACCTGATCATCATACAAGTGACAATACACATGCATCAGAAAACCAGACTTGAAGAGCAAAAAAGTAAATCGAACTAGGAAGGTACCCCACTGTCCCAACCTGCTGAAAGAGGTAGAGCCTCAAAAAGACTCCCGGGTTCAGACACCGAGCAAGCGGTGCCAGATACTAAGGCTGGGCAGGCCACCATGGGGCCAGGAGAAGCACCCTCCCCTGATAGGATTCTAGCCGAGTCAGAACCCGAAGCAATAGCTGGACTGGGGAAGAAAGGTACAGGAATCCGCACCTTGACCAGTTTGGGGAATGGCGCCACATATATTGGGATGCACTGAGACCACACTGATGTGAAAAAGCCCACCACTGGGCACCAGAGAAAAGCTTCAAGAAAAGGAGCTTGATGGGCCGACTCTGAAGCCTCGGTGGGGAAATCGGTCTCAACCTCCATCCCTGAATCAGAAGGAGCAATCCCTGAAGTTACCCGAGCCTCATCCCAAACGAAAACCCCGCCCTGACCCCTAAACCCTCAGATGTTTGGGAGCCAGAAGCAGGGGAGGAGCAGCAGGGCAAATCCGACTCACCAGGAAAGGGAGCAAAGGTGTGGACTAAACCACAGTTGAAATAACCAATGCCCCTAAAACCTGGTTCCTAAAACCCCAGTGGGGTAGCTCTGGGGCTTCCAACTGGGCAACCAACCTGGCTTGTTGCAACAAAAAACTTAACATACAGCGAAGCTACTGCCTGACCCCTAACATCCTCAGACAAAGAATGGGTAACTGAATGATAAGCGGAGAACAAATCCCGCAAGACTCAAGACCATAGGTGTCACCGACCCAACAGGCAGCATGATGGAGGCAGGACGGGTGATTGTCACCACGAGGCAGTGGCAACAAACAACCTTCAGCATTGTCCAAGGCAAGACAGGGCTCGGAAGACGCATCCATAGTAACCCCCGAGCCCAACTGGGTTTTCCAGTGACCGTAGGGAACGTTAGATCTACAGGAAGCCCAGGTACTGGGGCAAGCTAAGCTGATAAGCTGTCTGTTGCAGGCAAACTGACAACCAGAAGTCGCCGTGAAACCTTGGAGCAACATAGGAGAACCACCATCACAACCTAGTCAGGCATAATGGGAAGCTAGGCAGACCACCTCCGCCAAAAGTAATCAAATATGCTAAAACAAAACAAAAGCTCCCGAAGCAACACACAAACAAACTGGCCCCCAGAGAGAATCTTCGACCGCCACGTGTACGCAAGCTGCGCCAGCTGCAGTGCGCCCCACCCAGCAAAACCCACTCCCTATCCAGGGCAAGATGGGAAGCCCAAGACCCCTGATGTACCCCATGGGCAAGAACAATGCCAAGCGACAAAGCCCTCAAACGGGAATGAGACCCGAACGTCCCAGGGAAGAGAACCCTAGAACGCAAGGGAAGTACTTACCGGGCACCTAAGAAAGGTAGCCCCTAGGTGCATGCAGCCCAGCGTACCAGAGAACACCTGGCCACCACACCACACAAAGCTGGCAAAGCCACAAACGCAAAAGCCAGCCAATAAAGTGAGGCCAGAGGAGACTTTTTGACACCAGGCACATAAGTCAACGGACTGGGGTGGTGGGCTGCCGGCCTGCCTGAGCAGGCTCCCCCTCCCTCCCTCTTGAGGGAGGGGGGGGGGTGCTAAAAAGTGGGCACATTAGTTGGATGACGATTTGCTTGTTTGTTTGTTTGTTTTTGGAGGGAGTTCTTTGGCTCTGTTCGGACATAGGTTGCAATTTTTACCAGTTGGGGGTTTGTATTGTTTCGCCTACCTTTCTGGTGTGTATCCCTGGTCGATGGCATACATGACAAACTCTAAATGTAGTGTGCTCATATGGCCATTGCTCCCTGCGCCTCTCTGAGTGGACCAGGTTCTGGCTCTGGTCTCCGGTAGGCATGGCCCATATCAGAACTCCAGGGACTGATGACATACCAAACTAATATGGAAAAATCCCCAACTCTTCAATACTCAAACCACATGAGTACATAAAATTAGTTTGGATAGCTTCAGGGAGCTTGAGTAGCAAAGACTTGAGGGTTTAGGGCTCCCCACAGAAAAATCAATTGGAAACAAATTGCAAAGCCATGGAAGAGGAAAATAAACTTTTAAAAATAACTGTGGAAGAAGTTAAAGCAACTTTAAACATAAATGACTACAATAGGTTAGGTAAGGAAATTCAACATGAAAACAGCTTTTGTCAGTACAGATGGAGGAAGTTATACAGGGAATAGAACAGCGCAAGAAAGATATGCAACTCACCAATGCACAATTAGCCAAGGAGACGGAAAAAATAGAAGAAGCAGTAAAGGAACCCAAACACCGCAGCAACCAGGATAAAATAAACTCTAGGCTGGAAGTGAGAAAGGAACTGGCATCTAACCCAAAGTTGGTGTAAAACACAGTTGATCGAAGTAAGTCCCTGATAATTTTTGGTTGCAAAGAAAAGGAGATAACATCTAAGTCAGAAAAAGCTGTAGAAGAAGCAAAAGTAGTAGATAAAATTGTTGGCCTCATGGAAGGTCTTATTACCATAGAGAATGCCTGTGACTACAGGAGGATTGGAAAGTACGTAAAAGGGAAAGATTGACCTTTGAGGATCACCCTAAACAGTGCCAAACAGATGGAAGAAGTACTAAGGAATGCTGGAAAATTACAAAAGTGATGAGGTAGGGAAAATATGGTGGGTAAGACAAGATCTTTCAAAAGAAGACGATCTCTCTTCTTTCAAGAGAGAGAAGTTAAAACTGAACCTAGTTGAGGCAAAACATCTAAATGAGAGCAGAAATGAAGAAGAAATAAATTATTTTTTCTACAAAATGATAGGGGTAGGCAGACCAGTAAAATGGTACAAAAAGGCAAACCAACAAAATCACTAGAGAGAGGGGGAGTGAAGAACAAGGAGAGGGGGAACATGTTCCTGAAAATTGCATACACCAACATAGATCGAGTGAGATCAAAGATACTGGAGTTAAGTGATGTAATACAGCTGCAGACACCAGACATCGTTGCACTCACGGAGACAAAACTTGAAGATGATATTTTAAATGAGGTCATATTTCCAAGAGGCTACACAGTCTGGAGAGGGACAGAAAAATTAGTTAAGGTGGTGGTGTTGCTGTGCTGGTGAAAGAACACCTAAAGGTAAATGAATTAATGATTGCCAATCCATGAGAGGTTGACATAATAGCACTAAAGATCTGCAATCAGGATGATAACCTAACGATCATAAATGCATATAGTCCACCGCCATGCAACACATGGTCAAAGGAGGAGCTGGGTAATAAACAAGAGGGTCTTATAACAATAATAGAGAGATTATAATGAGAGCTGATAAAGATAGATCACGACTGTTGGTAGTCGGCGACTTCAACTTGAAATCCATAGACTGGGAGGCATATGAAGCTAGAACAGAGGATTTCTGGATGTGTAGATTGGTAAACCTCATCCTGGAAACATTCATCTTCAACATGTTAAACAAGCTACGAGGATGAGGGAAGGGGATGTTCTCCCCATGCTGGAATTGATATTTACCAGGAAAGAGGGAGAGATATTTGACATTCAGTACCTCCCTCCCTTGGATAAAAGTAACCATGTCTTTTTGGAAATAAAGTATGCAATGCGTTATAATCTGGAAGAAAATGAGGTCGAAGCAGTTGAAAAGCCTGATTTCAAGAGAGGTCATTATGGGGGAACTCAGACATTTCTTTAAGGAATTTGACTGGAAAGACTTGCTGTTAGAACATGAAGTAAATGAGATGTATATCAAGTTTTGTGAAATATATGATAAAGGCACAAAAAAATTTATACCAAAGCAGAGATGCAGAACTAGGAAACAGGATTGGTTCGACAGAAATTGCGAGAGGGTGAGAGACCAAATGACACAAAAATGGAATCAATATTGGAAGAGGCCAAACCCAAACATACTAGCGATACAAAGATGTGAGAAACAACTACACGGCAGTGAGGAGAGAGGCAGAAAGAAATTTTGGAAACAGGATAGCTGTCAAATGTAAAACAGAACCAGGTCTATTCTATAAATTCATAAACAACAAATTGCAGATAAAGGATAATATTCAGAGGTTGAAAATGGGAAATAGATTCACGAAAAATGAAAAGGAAATGTGTGAAACATTAAACAAAAAGTTCCAAAGTGTGTTTGTACAAAATGAAATCTTTAGGGAAACAGACAAATAAGAATTCCAGAGAACAACATAGAGGTGTCTAGAGACGAAGTGGAAAATATGCTCAAGGAGCTAAATAAGAACAAAGCAGTTGGTCCAGATGCAGTTTCACCATGGGTTCTGAGAGAATGTGCACCTGAGCTCACCATTCCTCTTCAACTGATTTTTCAGGCATCCCTGTTTACAGGAGTTGTAGCTGATGTGTGGAAAAAGGCTAACATAGTTCCAATCTACAAAAGTGGAAGCAGGGAAGACCCCCTTAATTATAGACCGGTATCATTGACAAGTGTAATAGTCAAAATATTGGAAAAAATAATTAAAATTAATGGGTAGAACACCTGGAGAAAACGATATAATATCAGTCAGACAGTATGGTTTTCAATCTGGAAGATCCTGTGTAACGAATTTACTCAGTTTCTATGATCGAGCAACAGAGATTTTAC